CGGCGCCGGCGAGCGCCTCTCTGGCGGCCCGGCGGGCGCGGAGGGGCCGTGCGGAGGAAGGAAGGAAACAAAGAAACTTTCCCCGTGCGTCTGCTCAGCTCGCCCGTTTTGTTTGCCCTAGCGATCCCAGTCGCTCTGCTGAGAGCTATTGCTTCTCACAAGCATCATCTTGCGTCTTAGATTATTCCAGACCGGTTGCAATGTTATCTTTCTTTGCCCATCGATCTGTGCTGCAAGGTTTGGGCTTTATCTGTGAGCATGAGGACTTCCCATTGCTGTGTCTCTGAGGATCTTATAAGCAGCAAAAATCCACCCCATTCATAATCTTTCAAATTAGTATATTTTTTGCAATGATAGTTTTAAACTTTGCCTCTTGAGGGCGTTTAACTAGTGCAGAAACTCCAAAGCTGCAAAGGTTTATCATGAGCTGTGAAAGTACTGGACTGTTGTTTCTGCTGAATTCCCGAGAGATGCTGACTGATTGTGCTTCATAGTCTTGTTAACCGTTTTTATTCAAACTACTGCTTCTCTTGAGTTTTTTGTCCCATGGTGCATCTGCTGTTCTGACTGCTTATTGTCAGTAAGAGACTTATACAGTCTATATATGCTTATGGGCTATGTAGAGGTGAGATTGTAACTTCATCCTTGAAAGCTAGATGTTCTAAAGCTATTTTTTATACTCCTGAACATTATGGCGAGGAATAGTGTGAATCAAGCTCATCTTAGGTGTATTTGTAGATATGTTTGTTACAGATTTATTGTGTTGCCCTCCCCACCCTCCTCCCCCCGCTTCACTTGCATTGATATATGAGCTAGCAAATTCAAAGCAAGTTTTTATCTACCTGAACTACAGTTGTGCCTGTTAATTGCTCTTTAGACGTACCCACGGGCACTGTGAAAATGAAGTGCAGCTTGAGGCTTGAGATAACACGTAAGGAAGAAGTCCTTCTCAAAATTGTTTTTCACATAGATGGATGTAGGACTGAGGAGTATGATTTTTTTCTGTTCTTTGAGACTTTTGTATTATTTAGCAGTATCTTTATTGTATCCCATCTCTAACTTCAGCACTGTACAAGGATGTTTCTTCTTTGCCATCAGTGTACCACCCATCAGCGCTTTCTGATGTTAAACTGTGTGGGTGTATTCAGGGCTGACTTGACTATGTGGTCCTGTATATTTAGCTCAGTGCTAGATATGGAAGAAGTCCCAGTTCATTCTGGTTTGAGGAGGGGGTTTGAAGGTCCATTTCAGCAGCACTGCCCAAAGACACTGATGAAACAAAAGATATTGCAGACCTCTGATTTCGTAGCAATTTATGAAAGATTCTTTATCAGAACTTCTAAGCATAAATGTGTATGTAAACAAATTGTTTAATAGTTGCATTCCAACTTCCTTGTTTTGGTGCAGTGCTTTTTCCTTTTTTTTTTCCGCCTTTTTTTTTTCTTCCTCACTGAATTTGCTAAAATGAACAGAATTGTGTCTTTTATTTTGGACTATCCTTCTCTATCTGGCAGCCTTTTCTGCTTTTATATCTTCTGTTTTGTTTGTCTCTTCATGAGACTCAGGCATTTTTCTGTAGTGTTTTTCAAGTCTTGGAGAGGCAAAGAGGAGCTTAGTGTATCCTTAAGAACAAAGAAGGAAAATGCATCTCTAATGGCAGCATTGCTGGGTTGCAACATACGACTTTGTGGCAAGGGATGTGAAGTTAATGGAGCCAAAATGTACCCTCCAGTAAAATGGAGATAGAGTCTGTGTGAAAAAGCATAGAATAGAGGTGTTAAA